TCTGGTTCTATTTGTTTTGCCAGTGAGAAGGCCAGTAATGCAGGGATTTTATTCTCCATGTAAAGTCAAGACAGCTTAGTCTGTTATGTGATCATTAGTCAATCAAGTAATATGTCCACTTCTATCCCTATTTTGGTTGGTTCATTTTTAGTTCAGTTGCTAGCCCTAGATAGCTTTTCTGTTTAGCAATAAATTTTCTCCTTGTACTTGTTAGTTTACTTTATTTTTTTATAAGATGGCATAAATGGGTTACCAAGTTATAGTGTTTATTCTAAAGTTTTATAAGTTTTACATAGAATAATAACAAAATAGGTAATCAAACATCATGAAGACTGTTTTGATCTATCAAATGATGATAAAATTAAAGTTACTTCTAGAATTATGTAGGCAGTAGGCCTGTTGAGGAAAGATGATGATGAACTAAAATAATAAATTTCTGTTTTAGTTATTTACCAGTTTTCAACTTTGGGATGCTCTGTATAGATAAAAAGTGCCATATACACCAGAGATAGAGTGACTATGCCAGGTAGCTCTTCATATCTAACTTCTGATGACCTGTATGTATATTGATATTTTTTTTTACTCCTTCACTACATACATAAGGGTTGGCTCCCTAAAAATGCCAACTGTATAGTATACAAAGCATTGAATATTCTATATGTTACAGTCATCTAATGTTCATCTATTAATGACTAGTAATTTCTGTTTCAGCTCATACTCAAGCTTTTTAAAGAAACACATGATTTCTGTAAGTAAACTAACTTCAATGGGTAATAACATTGTTTACAACGGAATTACGAGTTTTTCTGTTTTTCAAATTTTGCATAGAATAATAATAAAATAGGTAGTCAAAGATCATGAAAACTGTTTTGCTCTATGAAATGATGACAAAATTATAGTTTCTGCTAGAACTAGGTGCTAAGACTGTTGAAGAAAGATGATGATGAACAAAAATAAGAAATCTCCATTTTGGTCATTCGCAGGTTTTCAACTTTGGGATGCTCTAGATAGCTGGAAAGCAGCATATACACAGAAGATAGAGCAACTATGCCAGGTAGTTCTTCATATTATAGCTTATGATGACCTTTAGAAAGAAAACCCAGATGACTTTTGTATTGTTTTCATACGAGTGTCCGTGCCATCCTAACACAGAGAGTGCTAACACACTCTTCGATAATAATTTGTTTGCACATTTCAAAGACTTTACTGAGTCAATCTGAGAAAAAGGCAATTTTCATATTCAGAATGAAGATACTTATTTTCATCTTACAATTTTCATATTTCACATATATGACTTCTAAGACCTCCTGAATTTTTTGGTAAACTATATTATTTTATCTGATATTTTCTGTACCTGTCTGATTCAGTTTGTTGGGTAATGCACATCTGTTCATAACATATTGTCTTAATCAAGTAATACAATATTACTATTATATTTTCCGAAGTTGAAAAGCAGAGTAATTGATGTTTAAAGTTGGTTTCAGTTGTAAAATATACACAGTTTTTGATTCACAACTTTCACACATCATCCATAATAAATGATTTGTGTGTACATGTGTAAAGATTTTATAATTAAAAGCTATTACAACTGAAGATTAAAATCATCAATAAAATTAATTCTTTACATAAAGCTTTTATAAAGCTAAATTTCATTCCTGTTCTCACAAAGTTAAAGTGATCTACCATTTTCAGTTTCCAACATTTTTATGAAAATCGAGGTCTGCAGCAGAATCATGTCAGGGATTGCGCAATTCTACTTTTAAATGAAAAAGTTTAACAGCAAGCTACAAAATGAGAGTTAAATATTTATTTTTTTTTAATGAAGAGTACTACAAATCAGTGATAGGATTTATTCCTAAAGAAATTGGTGTGGCATTACCAACGCAATAAACATATTAATGGTGATGCCACCATTAATAAACATATTAATGGTGGCATCACATTAATATGTTTATTGCGTTGGTATCTTTACATTCATAATCTGAGATGCAGAGGTGCATTTTTTTTTGCTACAGCTTCTTATAGCAAACACTGTTGGTAATGCCTTCATTTTTTACAGTTTTATAATATTTTTCACAATCAAAAATAAAACAACAATAAATCTTAAGTATTCATATTAATTATAAAACCTACTCATTAAGAATTTAAGTTGCTAATGTTACTCAAAACACTACTGTGGCAGACTAAAAGCTGTTATGTAAAGTACAGGCAAACAGGAAATTGGAATTATGGTGTAGGTCACAAGGTTTGTATTGCATGCATGAATATAATATACATGTGTCTTAGTACAACAGTTATGTTATCAGCTCTGATACACATTAGACACTATATATGTAAAAATATATCAAGTAAGGGAAGAAGCAAAAAAGTTAGCAATGCATAATGAAATATTCACATTTTCCTACACTGAAAATTTATTTCTGATAAATTCTTACCTCTCCTCATAGAATATCTTTTCTTGACCTGTACTGCCCTCCATATGTGCAAATTTTTACTCACCACTAGTCTTGATACTCCCACCTATACTCACATTTTCACATCAGGCAGCTGAGTGATAGCATGCAAATGAGTATGTGACAAAAACCCTCCACTAATAGGAGTGTGACACAATTCCCAATTAGATGAGACCCCTCCAGAAAACACCCAAAGGAAACCCATGGGGTGTGTGAATAAAGAGTAAGACACACCTGTGGGATATCACACCACTTCTGAGCCAGGTATACTCTTCATCCATGAAAATGATGTATTGCAATAAGGGTGGAAACATAGGAGGGACCAAATAAATCAAATGAAGGAACCCTTGGAATAGATTGGGTAGGGTGCAGTGGAACGTAAGGGGGAATTCAACCTCAACCAACATCAACAGAACCATGATAAGAATATCCAGCCCATGATAGGAAGAGGGTCCTCTACTATTCAGCTCAGTCATGGGAACTGGAAGGGAAGAAGATCTTCCACTCCAAGAACCTGCATCATCATGTGCACATGCCCAACACCAGTGCCCCCAGGGAACTAACACTTGGACAAATGTAGGAAGGCAGACAGCAATGTGGCAGTTCAACTCCAGTCCAGAACCAGGCAACATTGGGAATGAATTGTCTAGTCAATGTTAGAAGGAAGGCACCTGGGCCTCACACGTGTGAGGGCTTACATACTCTCGAAAACCAACATCTGGGAGATGGTAGGAAGAAGGGTGGCCAGCTGGAGGGAGTAAGCTGCATTTTGATGGAAATCATCCATTCTATAATCAAGCCAAACTGGTGCCACCAAGAAGATGCAACACAGAGTGGCTTTTATGTGGGAAGAATCTTGTTGGGGCACAATAAAAGATATGCACTCAGATTCAGGGCACCCATATATGACATGCCAACAAACAAATATGATAGCTGTGGGCCCAAAACAGAAGGTCCAACATGTGGAAACAAGGAGTGATGAACGAGACAATCATCGAGTGGTTGGAATGGATCATAAACAGTCGGTTTCAGAGAGACAGAAAGAAGTGAATCAAAGTCTGAAAGACAGTGAGCAGTTTCAATAGACTGCTATGCAGAGATTACTCCAGATGAGGAGGAGGAAGAGGAACATCCAATTTGGTGTTGTCTCTGTTCAACCACCAGGTGAAGTCCACATGAAGGAAAAGAGGAAGATGGATAAGAGCATCCACAGGATCCCAAACAAGCTCACTGAAAAGGTTGTATGTGGGCTTGACCACGGGGAATGGTGGGCTTCCAAAAAAAAAAAAGCCATCTCACTCACAGTTAAAGAACAAGAGAATGAAAACATCTAAACCAGAATCTCTACAGATTGCCAGCAAAGAGGAAAAGGGAGGACTCAGCTGAAACATGAATGAAAAAATACCCCGAGATCAACAAGCTATTGAGTGGGGAGAGGAAGGACTTCTCCATCTTGACCAGCCAACCTACCCATGCAGCCTTTTCGAAGAATAAACTGAGTGTGAAGGGAAGAGGTGGCATTCGAAGAAGCTAGAAGCAGTCAGTTGTCCATATAATGGTAAAAACAAAGGCCCCTTGAATGAAGAAGATGGGCAAAAGCCTTGAGCGGCCAATAAAAAATGTATGAAGCTGAAAACAATCTGATTGGAAGAGCCCAGAACTGGTAAACACAATCCAAATAGACAAGATGAAGAAAATTCCAGAATGTTGGGGAGATGGGAATGTGGAGATAATCATCCAAGATATAATTGTGTCTGACAAAGACCAGGAGTGAAAGCCCATTGAAAAGATAGGTTGGACTCCATGGTGAATTGAGGAAGGCCGAGAAAGAGAGACTGATGATGGGGCACCAGTCCCCGGACTTCACGGGGGATATGAACAAACAGGTATAGAAACTAGGCTGCAAATGATTTCCCTGTTCTCTAGCATCCTTGAGAAGAAGATCGAGAACCACCTTGGAAAGACACTTGCTGGAAAATGGATCCCAAGGAAGGGGGGGTGGAGAATATGGAATGAGGGGACAGGGAGAAGAGGAACTGAAACAAAGAATAAGCCCTTCAGAAAGAACCCCCAGAACCCAAGGTCTGTGATGGCAGGAGATTTTCATTAGCAAATTCATGAAATATCCGTTTGTTCACAAAAACATTCACAAGAAAATGCTTGTCTTTTGAACTGCAAACTTTTCTTTCACTGAAAGAAGGTAAATATCATATGCCTTATTCATGCAGAACAAATTATATGCTTAAAAGCACGTTCCCAGTATTCTATTTAAAAGAAAAACTTTTGAAGACTTCCTACTGCTAAAGGCAGCATAAAAATATTGAAATAGTACAATAAATGTTTTTCCATCATTCTTCTTGTTAATATAAAAAAATATGCAATAGCTGTTCTGTATTATTATTATTACAATATTCAATAGCTATAGTTTGAAATTCTAATAGCAAAACAGCAGTTAAAATCTTAATATCTTCCCTTCTACATTACTACACTTTTCCAATTTCTTGAACTTACTTAACTCTTCCACTAATTGTAGAATGTTTTGCTTACATTTTGGTTCCAACTGGTATTGATTTTTGAACTGCCATTGACTGTGGCAATCACAAGCTCTTCTTGTTTTTTCCTCAAACCAGAAGCTTCATCAAGAGCTGTACCCTGTGGAGATAATTCATCATAAATTTTCTAAATAGTTTTCGCTAAATTTTTATTTTTATATTTCTACATGTTTTCATATCATAAGTGATTTGCAACTTTTTTACTATGGTGTATTTGTTAATTTATTTTGCATACTCTTTTTTTTTCTTCATTGCTTCAACAACCACTTGGTGTACATAATATTTTTATTATATTTCATGTCAAAATTTTTTTATTATTATAATGCTGTCAAACTTTAAATTTGTGTTAAGTACATTAACTCATTTCATATGGGTATCCTTTTCTGTGCATTTGTCTGTAACTAAGCACAAAGCTACACAATGGGCTATCTGTGCTCTGCCCACCACGGATATCAAAACCCAGTTTTTAGTGTTGTAAGTCCACAGACATACTGCTATGGGGCTGGTTTTACTGAGTAACATCAAAAATTTAAAGTACTTTATTATCATGCTATACAAATAAACTTGGAATCACTACATAGCTAAAAATCCAAATGTTAATATTATACAAGTTTTAATTTCTAAATTTTATAAGAAAAACCTCAATTTCCCCTAGTATGAGATTTGTGAAATTTGCTCTATAGGTACCTCTTTCCTCAAATTTATTTACCACCTCTCTGAGAAATACAGAATTTGACAGAAATTACTCATCTATCAGGCAAACCATAATTTTTATAGACTTAAATCTTATTTGGTTACAGAGCTTTCAACTAGAAAATAAAGCCCCTCTTGTCATACATTAAATGCATGTAAAAACAACATTTCAAATCCATTCTTTGTCTGTCACAAGTTGCTGTCAAGGAAGACTTATTCAGTACTAGAGCTGGCCAGCTGAGCTCAGTAGCCAAAAGATACATGAAGTTGTGTACCTACAAAGATGGAAATAAAGGCAGGAAAAAAGGTACAAATATGGCAAAATGACTTAAGAAATCACAACTGGCATTCACATCCAACTAGTTCCTCAGACAAAGACCAGGCAGCATGAGCTTTTGTGAACTAGGCAAGGAACAACAGAAAAAAAAACAAACTAGGAAATAACCAAAGTTAACATTTTTCTAAACTGATAATGTATTTCCAATAATACTTACCTCTGCTGACATGAGCTCTATTTCTTGATCTCCAGGGTTTCCACTATTTGCCCATCTAAGCATTGAAAATGCTTGCTCCAGTCATTTATATCCCACTTGAATGCCCTTGGTAAATTCTAATTTGCAAAATTCTCAACCAACTTCAATGCACCCTTTATCTATGTACTGTATCTAAGCACCTCATTCACATAATGTAATAACTTCTTCGAGAAATAAACTGGCTTTTAGTGAAGAGGTAGGGCAGGAGAATGTCAGCAGAGGTAAGTATTATTGGAAATACAATTTCAGTTTAGTAAAATGTTAACTTTCAAAACATGCTTACGTCTGGTGACATGTGAAAGTGGTTGCTATTGCTGAATTGAAAAGAGAAAGCAAACCTGCTTGGGCAGCACTCGCCACAAAGAGAGCTTCAGTGAAAAATAAAGGGACCTGGAAATAAAAGAGTATATGATTGACGAAAATACCTCTGGTTAAAATCTAAGAGGTGTGGTCAAAACAACTATACGGGGTAGTCAAAAATCCTCAGAAGAGGAAACTGCCAGACCATGTAAGTAATGAGATAGGAAAGTATTAGGAGTAGTCCACATACCAGCCCACATAATGTCTTCCAGAGGGCAATTCAACTGAGTGGCTACTGACAGAGATATGACAAATTTGGTGAGATGTAACATGCAAAAGATTCCTCTCCTGTAATGATAATCCATTATAGGCCAGAAGAATCAATTTATGAAGCCACCACATTAGGGTAATGGGAGATTAATCATGGGAAATAGAAGGATCCCAATGAATGAACAATCGATTCCTACTACCTCGAAATGAATTAGTACAAGCCACATAACACTTTAGGGCCCTAATAAGACATAACAAACAATCAAGATCGGAGTAGTCATACAGGTGAGTAATGGCTGGAAAATGGATTGTTGAGAAGGATCTTTCCCCTTCCTTGGCTGCCAGCGTCTTGGGAAGAAAAGACCTATCAGGGTAAAGCAGGGCAAATGTGGAATGATAAAGAGTCTGATGCACACGGATTGCAAAAAACTCTGACTGGTGACGTCCACAAGCCAACAACAACAAAAAATACAATTTGAGAGAAAGGTGAAACAAAGAACACGAAGCTAAGGGCTCAAAGGGAGAATGAGACAATGCATGTAAAACAACTGTAAAATCCCAATTCGGTAATTGAAAAGGTCATTTGGGTCAAAGAATATGAAAGGATCTAAATAGACCTGATAGTACTGAGGGTTCAAAAACCTTCCAATATTTGGAATACCAAAAAACAGTGGATAAGGATACCTTATACAAAGCCACTGTAGATGAAGCAAGACCCCTCTCAAATATCTAATTCATAAAATGGGATATGGTAGATACTTTAGGATGAAGAGGGTTTAAATTCCTTTTAATACACCACTGACGATAAGTATTCCAATTCCGCTGATAAATGGCCATGTTTGGCCTATAGAGAGATTTGGTTAAAAACAGAGACCCCTTAGAGGTTAAACCATTATGTCAGGCAAAGGACCACATAACTTCCAAGCATGAAGATTGAGTTTCCAAACATCTGGGTGGAGAATTTATGATCAAGGTTATCTCAAAAGACTGCCAATGTGGAAGAGGTAGAGGTGGACATTCCTGCAAATATTGAAGAAGTGGAAACCATGTTTGGGCTGGCCAATATAGTTCAACCAAGAGAACTCAACAGGGAGTGGAACGAACCACAGTCAGAACCCGGGGCAATAGCTGAATTGGGGAAAGGCATACAGATGTAAACCTGTGCAGTCCTAATTGAATGTATCTCCTCCCAACACTTGAGGATGATGTATCACAGAGAACAAAACAACTGCAATTCAGAATTCCAATGAGTCACAAAGTCATCAATTGTTGGAGACCAAAACTGAGAGCAAATCCACTAAAAACCTGATGATGTAGCATCTATTCCGTCAGAAGAATCCAGCTGGGTTGAGACAAGTGATCTGCAATTAAGTTCATCACTCCTGGAACATGACATGCTAAAAGACTAATACGATGGGAATGAGCCAAGGTAGAAAAACAATGGTCTCAAGAATGTGTGCCTCCTTAGCAATAGATCTGAGATACCACCGTGGAATTGTTGGAATGTATTTTTCCCTTCAAGAGAGACAGACCGTGAGCCATTGCCTGGTGTACTGGAAGGAGTTCTATAACATTGATATGTAGAGTAGACTTGTCTTCCGTCCAAATACCCTGGAACTCCTGACCTTGAAGATAAACTCCCCATCTCTGAAGAAATGCATCTGTGAACAGATGGATCTCGAGAAGAGGTGGTGGAATGGGTACATCAATAGTAGTGTTGTACCCATACAATCACCATTCGCAATCGACAATGTTGCTCCTGAGTAATGAGACAGGATTATCCAAAGGATCAGAATGCATTATCCATTAGTCATGCAGTAACCACTGAAGGGACCTCATATCTGCTCGTCCCAAAATCCCCAACTCATCCTCATATAGCTGAGGGGAACATTGATAGGCTTCCAACAAGAGTTGGATAGAATATAAATACCTCAGGACAGTCATGAGAGTAAGACGAATCCAAGAAAACTGTGATCTGTTTAAAGTGATCAAGGTTCCAATCTAGACCCCACAGGTCCAAAAGTGGGTCCATCCATTGAGAATCTAAATATACCTCCTGTTCCAATAAACATGGGTGACAAGGCATAACTATCCTGTCGCATAACGGAGCAGCAAATCTCCCAGCATGAATAGCAATATCAGGAGAAGAAGGAAAAACCAAGTAGTCACTTACTGTCCTTTCTGCCAACAAGGAAGGAATAGAGTCAAATGCAATAGGAGATCCCCAAAACCTCACAAACCTGACTAACCAACTGAAGAAAAGGGGCTAGAGGTGGCTGATCAAGATGTTACTAGGTTGAGGCCAACCTAGTAAAAGAAGGAGCCAGAAAAAGCCAGTCTAAGTTCTCCCCAGCTGGTCCTAGGTCATTTGCAAAAGTTGCCTCAGAACCCCCAGAAGAGACACCCTTGTCCGTATATATGTCTCCATCTCGCAGTGGATCATATCATGGACAGTTTAAACTGAGTGACCCCTCCTCTGGCTGTTGACAAACACCAGATAGCAGAGGTGGAAGAGAAGACATCTGGTTGGCTTCCATAGTAAAAACATTAACTTGGGAATTCATTTTGTTTTTTTTTAAAGTAATTCATTAATATAAACAAAGATATAACCATAGTAACGCTAACCATGTTCAAAGTCGCAATGTAAATTGGGAATAATCACAACTTTCCTGTTTATAGAAACCCATGCCGAATGCTTTGTCGAGAAAAAGTGATTACATTATCTGAGTTGCTTACATACAGTACATAGATAGAGAGTGCATTGAAGTTGGTGGAGAATTTTGCAAATTTAGAATTTGCCAAGAGCATTCGAGTGGGGTATAAAAGACTGGAGCAAGTTTTTCCAAAGCTTAGTCGGGGAAAGAGTGGAAACCCTGGAGATCGAGAAGTAGCAATAGTGTCGGTAAGTATGTTTTGGAAGTACTAATGGATATAGTATGGAAATAGTTCAAGCATGTACAAAGAATGAAAAAAATCCATGTTTCCTTGTCATCCTAATTTCAATCATAAATAAGAGAGAAACAGATGACAGAAGCTCAAAAGTAGCATTTATATCACCATACAAAAAGGATGAGATAAAAATTGAGACAGCATCATTGAGCATTAGGAACCATAATGTCTAATATTTGTGATAAAAATCATGTTTGGTTATATATTTGTTTTACAATTTTTCCTTAATTACACCACTGGAGATTTTAAATTAGATACATATAAAAACAACATTTGAGATCCATTCTTTGTCTTTACTGATTCGGCTGAGCCCGTTGCAAAAGGGTTAATGAAAGGCAACTCATTAATTTTACTCCAGTTTAACAATTTTTTTCTTATAATGACATAACATTTTTTTAGCTTTAATTGAGATCTTGATATTTGAAGCTATAATTGTTTGAAGGTAACAGATATCTGCTGTAACTTCAGTTTTATAAGCTTCTATTGTTGCTGGTTTTTTGTAATTTAAAAACAATGCTAAAAATTACATATTTTTTAGGTGAAATGTGTTTTGAATAAATACTTATCTTTTTACAATACAATGCACTATATCTATTAAAAGATCTTAATTTCATAGCTAATAAAAAATCTAGAATGATTCTAACTACTGACAAGTGAAAATGAGTACTAAGGTGGATTTAGTGACCCTATAATACACAGATATATTGCAAAAGTACATGTCATTAACATTAATAGCCAATCCTATTCTTTTTGTATATCTTAGTGCAAAAACTCCCAAGATAATTAGTTGATTTGGAGTGAATGTCTTTGCTGGTAAAGCAAAGTTATAACAAATTATATTTGTCACCTCCTAACACACGTACACAGCAACAGAATTTAACAGTAGTAAAGAAGTGATAAAAAAATTTATGTAAAAACGTGTATCTACAAAAATGGAAATAAGGGCAGGAAAAAAGGAACAAATATGGTGAGATGACTTAAGAAATCACAACTGACATTTACATCCCACTAGTTCCTCAGACTAAGACAAGGCAACATGAGCTGTTGTGAACAAGGCAAGGAGCAATGGAAAACAAAGCTAGGAAATGACCATCAAGGTACTAATGGACACAGTATGCAGACAAACCCCAAAGGAAAGAGTTTGAACGTGTACAAAGAATGAAAAAAATCTGTTTCCTTGTCATCCTAATTTCAATCATAAGTGAGAGAGAAACAGATGATAGGAACTCATAAATAGCAATTATATGACCATACAATAAGGATGAGATAAAACTGAGACAGCATCATTGAGCACTAGGAACAATGAGGCCCAATTTTTGTGATAAAAATCATGTTTGGCTGTATATTTGTTTACCAATTTTTCTTGAACTAGATCATTAGAGATTTTCAGTTAGATACATGTATAAAACTACATTTCAGATCCATTCTTTGTTTGCCACACATTATTGTCACGAAATACTTTTATTCAGTACTAGAGCTGGTGAGCATAGCTCAGTCTACAATAGTCAAAAGTGTGTCATACTGAGACTATATAATATTCTACCCATTACTCACAGTTTATTTGGACTTCACAGCTTGAATAAAAACCCGAGCTCAATTTTCACATAAGCTGTAATGCCCATATAAACTTTAGCTTAGAACATTATGGTTTTTCATTACAGAAAAGAAACAATATTCAAGTGACTGCTCATAAAATTAGATTGAGTAAATATGTTTCACACTTCCAGATATATAAAACCAAACAATACTTATTTTTTGGAACATTTACAAAATACTCTTCAAAAGCATCAAATAACTGCAATTTTGATGCACAAAAATTGAAACACATTCAAAAACCTACTTTGCTACAATTTTAAAGTAGTAGCATATGTCTTGTGTGAATATACATAAAATGCATTTGATAATGTAAGGGTTCAAATGCCACCATATAAAATCAACATGATTACTGCATTTTTTATAAATCAATCATTGGTCTTACCACTCTCTCCAGAATAACATCATTTGAGTCCACAAGTATATCAAATTTATCATCCAGTTCTAAGTTATCATTCATTATCTTTCCTCCTTGATGTACAAGCAATGATGACATACTGAGAGAGAAAGAAAAAAACAAAAAACATATTTACTTGTCAAAATAAATATAAATTAAACTTATATTACTTCTCATGAATATTTTGCATTAGTGCAATATTCTGAATCAAATATACATCTTTTAATAATTTGTTAAAGTTTATTCTAATAGCATTCAACAGCTTTGACAACTTTTATCAAGTAGCAGAAATGCCACCCAACAGTCAGCTGTTTGTGCTTGTCATTACTAATCATAGTATTCATACCTAATTGAAAAAAAAATTAGAAAAAAGTGAACATTTTCTAAAAATGTATTTTTTTCTGGGAAGTATTGAACAAAAATAGTGTTCAGATTGTACTATTTAGTCATACGTGATTCATTGCATCAAAATTATTCAATGTACAGAGTTCAAAATTTTCATAAACTTTACTGATACAAACCGTATATATTAAAAATGCTATCCTTTATTGAAAAAAATAATAGTTTGTTTTAAGAACTCCAGTTTTTTGTACTTTAAAAATGGCATCAATAAATATATAATCAAACCCTCACGTACAATCCTGGTGAAAGTCGTGTTCTTGTTGTGAGGAGAGTACTTTTATTTAAAATTGCTTTCTGTTAAAGAAATGGTTGTTACACATACCATAATTATTTTTCTAGTTGTCTGAATCTTGAACACTCAAAGTGTAAATTTTTTTTATGGATTTTTGTTTATGGTGCCATTCAATAGATGGTACCACATTTCATAAGGCTTAATCACCACTTCTGGCATTGAAATCTTGTATTTCAGCACAAAATATGGCACCATTGTGTTTATTATCTTGGCCACATGGATATGTAGATGGCCATGCCATTGCTCCATCATATTAAGATGAATTGACAGTTTTTTGGCTAATTTTTAAACTATTCTACCATTTATTACAAAAAAATATAAAGATGACTAACTTAATGTGAATGGCATATTTATAATACATATATTTTATAAAAAACCTGTACAGTTAATATATATACAGAGATAAATAAGGAAGATTCTAATTTATGCTGGGATTTTTAATTATAATTATATGTATGTCACAGTATAAAATCTCAGAGTTTGAAAGTGTTTAAAGTTAATGCATACGTGTTCAAAATGCATTTCCCCTCAGCATTCATGAGACGTCTAAAGCTTCCATAGCTGCTGTAGTAGTCATAATCATCTCCAGGAGTAGGAAGCCTATAAGATTCTTTAATTGCAATAAGGGCTGATCTTAAGGCATTCTGTAAGCAGCAAAAAAACATAAATGTTAACAGCTGTCATTTAACAAATGTAAGCATTCTATGTTTCTGTTTCATTACGTACCACTTTAGCTATAAAATCTTGAAGCCTGTCACTCAATTATTATTTAGCCAACAACCATTGAACTATGTTTAACACTCTAATTAAAATCATAAAGAAATTATCAAGTTCAAAAGTGTTTTCTATTTATTAAAGTTAATTTTATAATTCAAAACTCAATATAAAGGTATGTAATAAAATAAAAAATATTATTGAAAGAGTAGGGATTAAACGTCAAAAGCTAATGAAGCATTAGAAACCAATAGGCATAATATGTGATAAAAAACACAACTGTAGGTGGTTCCCCAACCCAAGTCTCAATCCCTCTTAATTTGTCCCTTTCAGGTTCCAAATTAGGAGGAATGTAAAAAGAGTATTTCATATCTATCTTTCCTCTCCACAAGGCAATAGATCTATTTTTCACCTTCCACAAGTCACTGCCCAAGAGGCCTTTTGTTCAATACCAGAATTTGTCACTTGGGCTGGAGAATCAAAGACAAAGGTTTTTCTGAAATATTAATATAGGCAGAGTAAGACTATAAATGTTACAGTTTATAAGCCAAAATCTCCAAAGCGTTGGAAACCAATAAGCCTCACATTTATGATAAAAAAAAAAACACTTAAATTGCATATATTTCATATTTCTTCTTTTCCACATTCCTCTTAATTTCTTGAGTTTGGATTCCAAATCACAGGTGTTTAAAGTTAACAATCTTCTTTCCTGAATATGTATTTCAGATACATCTGTGTACCACAAAGAGCTATTACCTCACGTGCATTGCTGTGTAAATTTCTGTGCATGACACAAGCCTTACAAAGAGTTACCACCCATACACGTGTCACTGCGTATTGCACCAGCCTATGATGTAATCATCACTAGGTTTTAACCCTCCATCAACAGGAGCAGGTGCAGCGTAATCCTCATAACCACTAACATTTGAACATACTCATTCTTAACAAGTCAAACTACATGAACCAGGTATACAGAGGAAGTGTTAGAGGTGAAGCAGAGTTGAGTAATTATCTAAAATATATTTTCAGGAAAGGAAAATGCAAGTGAAAGTGTCCAATGGTCATTTTGACTGAATTATATCATTTAGCCAGGTGTTGTATATTTTTTCAGGTGCATTCTGAACCATTTTGAACAACTTTCAGAAACAAATTTTAACTTGCCTTTGTAGAAAATGAAATTCAGAAACCACTTATACTTTATCATGTTACCAGATAGACCAATTTGATAATCACACAAAGTTAAATTTTTTAAGACATCAGTTATACATAGAAAAACATATCACTGAATTAACTAATCATGACCCTTTCCTTGTACAAATGAAAATGGTTGTAAGTCAGGCCAACATTACAAAAATGTCAGCAATAACATTTCACATTAAATTTACATCAAGTTTTACAATCATGCCAAGGAAAATTTATTTTGATGGATTTCAGTCTATAAACAGAGAACTTTCACCCATGGGAAAATGTTAATTTCAGAAAAACTACTCACCTCTTTGCACCACAATGAAGAATGGAAAGCCAATAGAATGTGACATCCATGAGGCAGAGTGTAGCCTAATGGGCAACATTTAGATAGAGATCACATCCATCTCAAGCACAACTCTTTGCCCAATGTTATTGTGGTATTTGTTGTTAGGACAGGAGGTAGAGCAAACAAGTGTCATAAGAATTTTTGGAATGGTGCTAAAATTTTGCCAAGTTGGGCAGAATATAAGCTTGCTCAATTTGCTTTTAACTTGCAGGTGGGTAGCTGAGCATTAGTGTATAGCAACTCTAGGGGTATAAAGTCAGGCCATTCAAAATAGGAGAAATACCACAATAATCAGGTGAAGGGACGAGCATCCTGATCTGTGCCCCAAGGCTAAAACAGGACCTATCCTGTTGGACTGAACAACCAGAAATGACTTGGTTAACAACATATAGAGAGGAGTCCTGTACTACACTACCAGTTAACACTCTAGCCCTATTTCCAAAAATGAAAGTTGCATCCATTTGATCTCATACCATAGAGATTGCACTGCCTGATGAGGAAATCTCCACATCGGCTCCCTAAACAGTTTTGGAAAAAAGGGTTCTCCAATACTCCACTTGGAAAAATGGGGAAGAAGAAATCCAAACAGGGGAGATTCACCAGAGAAGTGATTGCACTATGACATCAGATATAATCAGCTGGAATTAGGTCCCACACTGACAAGACAGAGCTATAAGTTATTGTAACTAAAGACATCAAGCACAAGCCAGGTGTGGAGGTAGGAAAATACCTGGCACTGGCACTTCTTTTTTCACAAGTGCAAAATGGCCTGAAGATAAGATGTACAGACACCAGTGAAGCAATCTTACAGAAATCCCAATCTCATCAGTGGGCACTGAGCAGAGGCAAAAGAACTTAACACTTTCAGTACTCCCACACATGATGCAGATTTTTGGTGAGGACTCTCTGTGAGGCAACACTGGCCAATTAGTGGGTTTCATCATCTCCATAATAGGTAGTTATGAGATTTGAAAAAGAAATGAGAAAAATAAACAACTCACCATCAGGGCCACTGTGAAGAATGATGACTGGAGGGAGAAAAAAGCCAGGGTAGATGAAAGTAATAGAATCCATACCTTCACCTATAAGATTTCACACAGGGAACAGCAATGGCTTGATGCAAGAGAAGCTGTGAGATGACAAACACAATAGAAGGAGACATGAAAAATAAGAAAATGGTTATCACATATACACAGCGTGGTCACAAGTAAATAGACACCACCTTTTCAGAAAAAAATAATAATTTTTCAGTCATATTCACATGAATTGATATATTTATAATTTAATTAATATCTAGTAGATCTTCCTTTCGCTTCTTGGAGTTCATTGATCGTTTGGGGCATCGTGAGAATCATCTCGTCAATTTTAGATTGTGGGATTTTCGCCCACTCTTGCTTCAAAACTTGGAGTAGATTGATCTTCGAAGTTGGTTTTTTTGGTTGTTTCTTGACTTGCCAGTCGAGTATGGCCCAGAGGTTTTCAATGTGGTTCATGTCAGGAGATTGGCTTGGCCAAGGCAACTTCTGAATACCATTTTCTTCCTGCCACTTTTGGGTGTTTCTAGCAGTATGACACGGTGCTCCATCTTCCTGGAACAACGTTGTGTTCTTGTCCACGAAACCTGAGGAATAAAGTGGCAAGAGTCCTTCCTCCAATATTTCAACGTATTTCACAAAATTTATGTTGCCAACGCACTCCACTAAGCTCGATCTCCCACCAACCCAAACAGCTCCCCAAACCACCATGCTTCACAGTTGGCTGCAATCTATTGAGACAAAACTCTTGGTGAGGCATTCTCCAGACCCATATCCTTCCACTGTCCGAAAATTGAGCGAATCTTGATTCGTCTGAGAACAATACGGTCTTCCAAAAGTCCAAGAGACTTGGTCATCATATCACTTGCCCACTTCTTTCGTCTGACTATGTTGGCAGGTCTTAATAAGGGCTTCTGCCTAGCTGCTCTGCAACGATAACCCAATCTGTGGAGAATCCGTTGAACAGATTTCGGGCTCATCCCACTAACTTTGGCCACTTCTGCAGTCGTTAATTTGGGATCCATTTCAATGCTCCTCTTGACAGCTCTTTTTGTCCTCTCCGATGGACCAGGACGACTGCTCAGTTGTTTCCTTGCCATGTTTCCTACCCTGCACGATGATTCTGTTGACTGTCGAAAGCGGGATTCCCAAATTCTGCGAAATTTGCCGCTGACTTATTCCACCATCTGCTTGACCAACTATCCTTTCTCGAAACAAAATCTGACAATCCGAGAGAACCTTGAGTTCCAGGCATGTTGTAGCACAAGATAATTAGTGTGCGGACCATTTT